CCAAGTAGCTGGGACCACAGGTGCCCACCACATGCCTGCCACCTTAGGTGTATGTGGCTGGCTCCTTAGCCACTTGAGCCTCAGGCGCAGAGCCGGCAGTTAAGTTTCAACATGAGTTTTGTCGAGGACAAACCACATCCATAGCATAGCACTACCTGAATCTTAAATTTGAAGTGTTTCTTGTAGACAGAATATAGTTTAGTCTTGCTCTTTTTAATCTAGTTGGTCTTTGCCTTTTAATTGGGGTGTTCACATTATTGACATGTTTTCGTGTCGACAGTATATTTAAATCTGTTGTTTTGCTATTTGTTTCCTATTGGTTTCTTCTATTCTTTGTCCCCTTTTACATCTCCACCTGTCTTTGGGGGATTAAGTATTTTTTAATGTCTTCATTTTATCTTTGTGGACTTATTAGTAATACCTAATTTGTGATTGCTCTAAGAGTCCCATGTTCATCATTAACTTATCATCTTCAAATAACATAAAATCTTAGAACAGGCTGGCCCAAAGGTAGTGAGTTGTCTCAGCTGATTGCTCAGTTACAGATCAAACTCCTTGTTCCACTCTTTCCCCTTCTTACTGCATTTAAAGAAGAAAAAAAAGAATCTAAAAACAGTATGGTACCGTTTCTGCCCCCCCCATCCTTTGGATAGTGTTGTCATAATTTTTTCTTCCACAGATGTCTCTTCTTGTAGAAGGAGGCCTCTATGAGATATTGCTATTATGTTTTTTAAGTAGTCAATGATTTCACATTTATAAAAGAAATGTGAAGTAAAACATTTTACACACACATTTACATACTTTTTTTTTTTTTTGGCCGGGGCTGGGTTTGAACCCACCACCTCTGGCACATGAGACCAATGCCCTACCCTTTTGAGCCATAGGCACCACCTACACACATTTTTACTACAAAACTCTTCATTTCTTTCTTTCTTTTTTTTTTTTTTTTGAGACAGAGCCTCAAGCTGTCGCCCTGGGTGGGAGTGCAATGGCATCACAGCTCACAGCAACCTCCAACTCCCAGGCTCAAGTGAGTCTCCTGCCTCTGCCTCTCAAGTAGCTGGGACTACAGGTGCCCGCCACAACGCCTGGCTATTTTTTGGTTGCAGCCATCATTGTTGTTTGGTGGTCCCAGGCTGGATTTGAACCTACCAGCTCAGGTGTATGTGGCTGGCGCCTTAGCCACTTGAGCCACAGGCACCAAGCCCATTCCTTTTATTGATTAAAGTTGGTATCTGGTATTATTTTCCTTTCACCTGAAGAATTTCCTGTAACATTTCCTACACTGCATAACTGATGTTTATGAATTCACACAGCTTTTGTCTGAAAATGTTTCTATATCACCTTAGGGTTTTTTGTTTGTGGTGTTTTGTTTCTTTGTTGTTGGAGACAGAATTTTACTCTGTTGCTCCAGGTAGAGCGCTGTTGAGTCATAGCTCATAGCAACTTCAAACTCCTGGCCTCAAGACATCTTTCTGCCTCGGTCTCCACAGTAGCTGGGACTGCAGGTACTACTACAACATCTGGCTAGTTCACAACAGCATCACTCACAATAGCCAAAAGGTTCAAATAACCCAAATGTTCATCAACAGATAAATCAATGCGATGTGGTATCTTTACCATAACTATGATCAATAGGTTTTGGTATACAGAGGGTGGCAAAAATATACACATTTTAAACAAAAAAACTATTAAAACTGTAATATCTACCAATATGATGAATACCAGTCACATTGACTTCTGAATTAAAAGAGGTGCTCAAAGCATATACATAATACATATAAGTAGCTGCCTCCTGATGTGTGTACACTTTTGGTATCCTGTTCTTACAAAGTTCTGCAACTATCACTTCTATTTACATGTGTTCATCACCCCCCAGAAAGACACGCTGTACCCATGAGCGGTTAGTCACCCCCCCATCACTAATGCACTTCCTGGCCTGTGGCTCTACTGGCCTTGTCTCAGGGATGGGACCCTGCACTACGTGGGGTGGGCGCTGTAACTCTACTGATCACTGAGCACCTTTTCAAGGTTCATCTATGCGGCAGCACGCACCATACTTTATTCCCTTCTAAGGTTAAGTAACATCAGGTAAGGACAGACAACCCTCGGTTAGCAGACCCGAGTGTTTCTGCCTCTTGCTATTTATTATGAATAGTACTGCTGCGAATGTTGGTATACAAAGCTTTTGGGTGTTTTTTGTTGTTTGATTTTTAGACAAGGTCTCACTCTGTCCAGTGCAGGGGTGTCATCAGCTCACTGCAGCCTCTAACTCCTGGGGTCAAGTGATCCTCCCGCCTCAGCCTCTCAAGTAGCTGGGACGACTGGTGGTGTCCCAAGTTCTGTGCAGACAGACGTCCTTTCTTTCTTTATCCTGCTCCAAGGCCACTTTAGGTCCAGGGTAACACCAGGTCTGATCACTGAGCAACCCACGCAGAGCTCAGGAAATAGGATAGGATAGAATGGGATGGGGTGGGGCGGGGCGGGGCGGACCCTCCTAGAGAATCACGAAGGGAGCTACGAGCAGGTGGCCGTGCTGCCGGTGCAAAGGCCCTGCACTAACGGGCCGGAGCGGCGGCCGGGCTAGAGGGGGGCCCGGAGGTTTGGGGAGCCACAGGTGACCCTGGGGTGCGCCCGGTAGGTCTGGCTGCAGCTATTGGTGGCCAGACTCCAGGATGGGACCCGGGGGTGTGCATGCGGAAGCCAGGGCAGGACATCGGGCCGGGGAGTGAGGAGGCGGGGAGGCCTCGATGTACTGGGACCCAAGGCTGTGCCGGGGAAAAGGGAGGGCTTGGGACCCCAGGCTGCGCGAGGTCTACTTGGGGCGGACACCTGCCTCACCTCCCACCTTGAGACGCCAGCCAAGGGCGGAGCGGGGGACCGCCGGGGTGCCCAAGCCCAACACCTCCCACGCCCCCGCCCACCGGACCCTCCCGGCCAAGCCACCGCCCACACTAGGCGGCCTCTCCCCGCCCCACAGTCTGTAGGCGCCCACGTGGGGCGAGGGAGGTTCTCAGAGCCCCCAGGGTCCCACTTAGGCGGCCCTTGTCGACCTTTCACAGTGGGCCCACGCCCGTGAGCCTCCCGGCGGCCGAGAACGGAAGCCAAGATCTAAACTTCGGTTTGAACCTTAGTTTCTCCGCCAGTCGTCCAGGCTGCGGCATCACGCCCGCGCGCTCCGAGCAGACCCCTGCCCCCGGCACGCGCGTACGCTGCCCCTTTAAGAACTTCCTGCGCCCTCCCGCCTCCTTTTTCTCGCGCGTCTCCCTCACAGGCCGCCCCGCCCCCTCCACCACCGGGAGCGCGCCCGCGTCGCTGCGCGGATCTCGGGCCCCCGCCCCCTCCGCGCCTGCGCCGCCCGGGCCAGGGTGAGCCATTGGCTAGTCAGCTCTGGGAACGTGACTGGAGGGGCGGGTCTCTTCGCCGGAAAAGGTGGGGCCATGGCCTGAGCGTCCGCTTCGCGCTGACCCTCGCTCTCGCGCCGGATGGACCAACGCCAGCCAATGGCTATAGAGTTCTCGGGCACGTAGTAGGAGGTAGTAGCCTCTGCCGGAAGGAGGAGCGAAGCGAGCGGCCTAGTGGTGCAGGAAAGGGGGCTGCGGCCTGGCAGGGGCGGGCCTGGGTGGTGCCACCGAGCTTCGGCTTGTGAAGTCCGGCCGTAGACCTCTGCGGCCTCTGGGGGCTCCTTCCTCTGAGGAGTTCTGGGCTGCTGGCCTCTCCCACCCGCTCGGCGCCGGGGCCGCCCTTGGGAGGCATTCCTGGCCCCGGCGCACTTGTCACTGCTTCCCCAACAGTCCGGCCCTGCCGTTGCAGCGTCCAGCAGCTGCCCTGTGGCATGTGAGCGTGTGGGGACCTCAGATAGGGTAATACTCTCCTGTGCACCACACCAGACACTGGACCGTAGGGCCCCAAGTGAAAGTTGCGTTTGTAAACCTGCGCACTCGGCACCAGAGGCCTTGTCTGACTTGTCCGCACGTCCCTCGAGCTGTTCCCCGTCCCGCCAGAGGCTGGACTGGGCCGGGCCGCGCCGTGCGGGCTGTGAGGGGGGCGCCTCCGGAACGCGGCGCGGACATGGAGCAGAAGCTGTCCCAGCTGGTTGAAGAACTCACGACTTCAGGGGAGCCCCAGTTGAACCTCGAGAAGATGAAGGAACTGAAGAAAATTTGCAAGTATGTCTCAAGGGTCTGTAGTTCGAGTGGTCCCGTAAACCCGGAACGGACCGAGAGGTTGCGGAGCTTCTGGGTGTGGTCTGGGCATCCCCGGAAGACACTGATTCAGGGCTTTGCATGCCCAGCGCTGGTGGGCGGCAGGTCCTGGGAAATGGTCCTAGGGCAGGATGTGGCATTTCTGGTTATCCTATGTCCACCGGAGATGAAGTGTTTACGTTCAGATGAAAAACTCCAGGTCAGATCAGGTATTTCTGAAGATTCCTAATCAGCGTGATTTGCCCCAGTGTCTGTGAAGAGGAGCCCTGGATCTCCCCTTACTCCCTGCAGTGAGGGAGGGGCACAGGCTTTCTGGAGCAACTGCTAGTGACTTTTTCAGGCTTCACCATGGTCAGCTCTGGGAAAGTGGCTAGTGGCGCTGGAGCGTTGTCTACAGGCTGTTCCAGCTAAGCTTATTGACAGGCACTGGCATTTGACTCTTCTACAGTCTTCACACTTTGTAAATTATCCTTTCATTTGGTTTTTTTTTTTTTTTTGGCAGTTTGTGGCCGGGGCTGGGTTTGAATCCACTACCTCCGGCATATGGGGCCAGTGCTTTACTCCTTTGAGCCACAGGTGCCACCCTCGTTTGTTTCAACTATTTAAAAATGTAGAAAACACTCTGGGCTTGCAGACGTTATAAAAACAGAGGCTGAATGGGCCAGGTTTGGCCCTTGGCAGTGGTTTGCAGACCCTGCTCTAGGAAAAGTGGAGAGTGAAGCTTGGGCGGCAGCTGTGGTCTTGGCCATATTGCACAAAGAATCCTTGGTAACTGTCCTGCAAGTGTGGGCACTTGCGTCAGGCTGGCTTGTGTCCCTAGGTCTTCAGAGGAACAGCTGGGTCGTACCTACCACCTGCTGATGGCCCAGCTAAGCAGGGAGCATGCCCAGGTCCGCCTCTCCGCCTTCCAGGTTGTGGATGAGCTGTTCACCAGGTCTCACTACTTCAGGTCGCTGCTCATTTCCGACTTCCAGGAGTTCCTGGAGCTCACTCTGGGCACAGACCACGAGCAGCCCCTGCCACCACCCAGGGAGGTGGCCCAAAGGCTGAGGCAGGCAGCTCTGCGGGCAGTGGAAGTATGGAATGAGAAGTTCGGGGAGGCCTATAAGAAGCTTGCCTTGGGCTACCAGTTCTTAAAGCACAATAAAAAGGTAGGTGGCCTTGCCCACTGCTGGAGATTCCAGGTGTCTGCTATGAGAAGGGTGGGCCAGAGGGAGCCTGGATGCACATCAGCCCGGTGTGCAGCCTACCTGGTCTTCCCAGGGCATCTGGGCTGCTGGACCAGTTGTTGGGGTGTGGAAGTGGTTGAGAGTGACCAGCAGCTGGGGTCAGGGCCTCTCAGTGCTGAGAGGAAGAGCATGAGTTCGCCCATGTGTGAAGGTGGTAGAACCTGCAGACCTGTGTGTGCAGAAAGCAGAAGCAAGACCCACCTCTCAGGCATAGCCCTTCCCTGTGACAGTGCAGGCCTGGGCCAGGTCTGTCCCGGCTGGACTGTCAGTCTCCACCTGGATACTGCCGTGGGCTCTGGTTAGTGCCAGCTATGACAGAACCCGCTAGGAATTCAGACCCCCGCCTGCCATGAGGCCCAGCCATCCTTCATTGTGGGGTCTGGGATCTACACCCTCCCCTACGAGGGTTGTAGTGGTCTCTAGGCCCAGCTACTTGGTAGCCCCTTATCTGCACATTGGGTGAGCTCACTGTTTCCTTCTGGCATCAGACTTGGAGATTTTTTTATACCCCTTTTAAGTTAGTACATGTACTGACTTTTCAGGGATTAGATGGCAGAGTTGGGGTACGGTTTCCTTTTATTTTAATACACTATGAACTTAGAAATATGTGGAGATCTTGGTTACATACTGATGTTGGTGTTTTTTCTTATACTTTTTGATTTACTGTTTCTTTGCATCATTTGTAGACAGTCTTAATCTTTATCTTCAACCTTTTAGGTGGATTTTCAAGATGTGAATGCTAGGACCTTAGCAGAAAGAAAGAGAGAAGAGGAGAAGCAGAAACATTTGGATAAAATCTACAGAGAAAGAGCCCAGCAGGCCGAGAAGGAGATGGAAGGCAAGTTCCCAGGACTGAGGGGGCTGCCTCAGGCTTTCTGTACTAGGCACTGCCATTGGTGCAGCCTTCTGGTCTCAGGGTCCTAGGTTGCTGGGGACTTTGATATTCAGACAGGCTGGACAGAGATGCTTCAGGTTGAGGGCTGGGGGGCGGGGTGGGGCCTTCCTAGCCACAGACCCCACCTTATTCCCAGTAGTCGTGGCTGGAGGCCTCTGAGCCCCAGCAACCACATTCAACTGAGGTGATTGCTGGGTAGGTTCTCAGGCAGCCTTTGGGGCTCAGCGTGGGTCAGCAGTAGTCTGATCTTCACAGCATGGCTGAAGGCCCTCTTGG